ACAAACAAACAAAAAATTTCCATTTCAATTTTAATGCCAATCTTTTTAAGAAATTTAATCTTGGAAATGGAAAAGGTAGCGCATGATTAAAGGGGAGTTCAAGTCCTTTTATTATATGGATTTATTAAGTGATTTGATGTAAGCACTGAAGTTAAAACTCTAGAACACAGACAAACCTTGGAAAATATTCACTAAGAACCAGTGTCTCTACATCCTAGCAAAGTTTAAGACACTGTTTTAAAAATCTCTTTCAAATGTTAAGCATATACAAACTGTAAAACCTAATTAATAACAAAATTCCTCAATGTATCAGCAGTGAACAATACACTGTGCAATAGCAACAGCTGTGGACATCACTCACTCAGTAAAGAGTCTGTCCTGCAAGCATGAAGTAACTGGATTTAAACCCAGAATTCATGTAAAAATCTAGTAGGTAGAGTATGTGCCTGCAAACTTGGTGAGGCAGAGATAGCAGATTCCTAAAGCTCACTTAGCCAACTTTTCCTAAAATGCTCCTAGAAAAGATGTCTATAGACAAGTTTTGGAAATGCTCAATATTACCCTCCATCCCTCCTAGAAGTAATGGGGAGTATATAAAATACATTAGTCAGGGAGCCACTGTAGAAACATGTTTAACCAGAGCTAGGCAAACTTTTAATTTAAAAGTAGAATCTTCTAAGTCAGGTGTTGTTGGCACACACCTTTAATCCCAGCACTAGGAGGTAGAGGCAGGTGGATCTCTGTGAGTTTGAGGTCAGCCTGGTCTACAGAGTGACTTCGAGGACAGGCTCCAAAGCAATACAGAGAAACCCTGTCTTAAAGAACAAAACAAAAAACAAACAAAAAAGTAGAATCTGCTAGGCTTTGAAATAGAACTGTAGGCAAACTATCCCAATTTTACAACATCAAGAGATTTGAGGAACAACACTGATCTTGAACAATAAGGTAATTTCTAATACATAATGAAATTTGAATTTCTTTAGTTGATTACATTTCCCTTCCCTTCCCCAAACCAGTTAGCAAATGTAAACAAGCACTCAGATGTCCAAGGACCTAACGACCTGAAAGTTGAGTTTCCAGAGGCTGCCAGAGCCCATCACTCAATCATTTACTGGTCAGTTTCAAGCTAACCACTACCAATATAAAAGCTGGCACAAGAAGCCTCATCTGAAAATTCAAGTAGCAAGGAGCTACCTGAAGACAGAGGATGTGTGATTTCCAAACACAGACAAGTAATTTCACTTAGTAGACATGGATAATACTTCTGTAAGCAACTGATACACAATAAGACTAGGTCATAAATAGCATTGGGATTTGGAACTGTAACAGTAGTCTAATGGGAAAAAATAGGCTTAATCTTTTTAAGATTTATTTATTTTTTATGTGTATGAGTGTTTGCTTACATGTATGTATTTGTCCTGTATGTGCAAGCCTGGGGCCCACAGGCCAGAAGACAGTGTAAAATCCTCTAGAACTGGAATTACAGTTGTAAGCTATCCAATGTGGGCTGGGAACTGAGCCCAGGTCCTTAGCAAAAGCAGCAAAATGCTCTTACTGTTGAACCATTTCACCAGTCCTGTGACTTACTCTTAAGTCACTATTTTCTTGTTTTTAATTATTTTTATCATTCAACTTTCTGTCATATAATATCACTACCCAAGACAGAAACTTACGAATAGCTTATAATCAATGTTTGAGCTGTGATCTCTCAGAATCAAAGCAATAGCTAAAAAAAAGGTTTAGTAGTACTTTAGCTGTGCTACATACTAAAATCATCCCCTAAATTACAAATTATCTGTTATTTGAGTTGAAACAGTTGGCCAACATTAAATTTCTAGATACCATCTCTATGTAGGGCACAGAAGAACTGACAGATTTCTTTATATCCATATTGCAACAATGAAGGCCTCATCATGTAAACTCTATCAATTAGAAGGCTATATAAAGACTTTCAGCTACTATTTAAACAGTGTGGCAAATGTCAAATGTAGCAGTAAGTTGATCAATTTATCAGAATGTTAGTATCACCTTCAAACCCACACCATATTAACACAGACTTTTCCTTCAAGCCTGTATTGTTGTATTTTTGTCTTGGGCACTAACATGTACTCATTACGTGACAATGCTGTTATATAGATAGGTCTATTTTATGCCACAGCCCAGTCAGTCAGTCAGTCTGTCAGCCAGTCTCCCTCTCTCTTGATCGTTTTTTGAGACAGGCTTTCTCTTGGCTGTCCTGGAACTCACCTCATAGACCAGGCTGGCCTTGGCCTTGAACTCACAGAGATCAGCCTGTCTTTGCCTCCTGAGTATTGGGATTAAAGGTGTGTACCATTACTGCCAGAGTAAAGTCCAGTCTCTTATCCTACTTTTTTTTTTTTTTTTTCAATCAGCCTAGCAATCATTTGCTTACCTCTAGCTCAGGCAGTCTCATACTCCTAAAGTACACTTAAACTGTACTCCTAAACTATATTCTCATAAAATTGAGACAACACTCAAGAAACTTCCTGGACTAACCTTCCTATTTCCTAAACTGGTGTCATTTTCTCTGACTCTAGAAGAAATACTTCAACTCCAGGTGATTCATCAGTACACAAGCAACAGTTACACTCATGGCTTAAAGACCTATGTGCATAAGCTAGATACCACCTGGATGGACTTTCTGAGCTTCAAGAAGATCTTACATGGCTCAGCCAGTAAAGGTGACCACCTAATTCAATCTGTAATCCCAGGCAGGATTATCAAACTCATAATGCTATTTAAGAAGAAAACAGATGTATTATCCAATTCAACATTGTGTTTGAAATTTGAATTTTGTGCTAAAAAGAGCTCATGAGGGCTACTCAAACTGTACCCATGACTAATGGCCCAGATTTGGAATGACTGTCTAAAAGAATGTGAAAAAACTGCTTTCAAATTAACATACTGCTATGTGGGTATGTAGCTTTATAGCAAGCACTCTTTGCTTTTAGACTACATTGTTTGTTCATGACCTGCCAAAGAATGTAAGTTCCTTGGGTACTGTTCTCTAGCCTGATTTATCCCAGAACCTAGGTAGGCACTCACTCACTCTGACAGATTATGCACTGTATCTACATACAGAGCTATACAGGAAATAAGTAAGCTTTTTTATTTTTCTAGGCTACAAAAAGGAACAACACTGGTCACTACTTAAAAATACAACATGTGGCATTAACACAATAAAACTTTAGAACTCTAAAGTTCAGGGGCAAACTTGGGTTATAAGAAGTTGAAGGCACTAAATTTACAGAGACCTTGGACTTGGAAGTCTAAGCACTGGATGCTTCCTGAGGTTTTTTTGTTCCACTTCCAAAGTTTCAGAGTATAAACCACTATTTACCTGTCTACTCAAGGAGACACCAGGACCATTCACAATGAAATTGTCAAACAGGTAAGACGACGTTTTGAGACCAGTTTTTCTTCTCAAAGCAAAAGTGGCGCGAGAGGAGGGCGCAGGCAATACAGTATTAAAAAAACAAAGCCAGCCCAGAGCCTCCCGGAGTTGGTCCAGACAATAGGAGCAACGGTAGAGGCAGGTTTGTGGCTGGTCAAGTGGGGGTGGAGTCTCAGAAAGCACCGGGGCAATAGGCGCTCTCTGCCCATCACGAAAAGAGGAATGGAGGTCGGAACCTGAAGTGGGGCGGGGCTGGATGGGGTGACCACCGTGTATTGGTAGAGGGGTGTCTGGTAACAGCACAACAGCTTGCAAGGCTTTTTAGAAGCTGTGTCGATATTTGCCCCTTGTTTATTAAGAGTTGGATGAGCAGAGATGTCACGGCCCATAACGATGGCTCTGCTTCATCTTGCCTCAAGGTCAGAGAGTTCAAAACTGTCCTAAGTAAGTCAAAAGACTTAAAGGTCTAAGGCTTGGCTACTGCAGGATGTTTCGGTCTTGGTGGCTGATGTCTTATCTAAGTAACGGACTTGGGCTCAGTTGTGTTTACTCTTGACCCTCAAGGCAGGATAACAAGTGTAGTTACCAAATGCTGGAGGATTAAGGGAAGACTGATTGTTCCTTACACATGATAAAGAAGTCTTCTGCCATGTCCCCCTTTTGGTTAGGGTACTTAAGAATGTTGACGAATAAATTTGGGGCGTTTAGTATTCATTGGATTGCCCTTCTGACTCTACCCTGTGTCTCTCTTTCTTAGCGTCTTTCTTTACCTGCCGTTTCTCAATCCACACTCCCTGTCTCAGGTGCAAACCGGGCGAGTCGGCTGGATCCGACTGAAACCCCACAAGGACGGGTTACTGCCGTAACGTGAGGCTACTACAGGCGCTCACCACACGGAATCCTAGACCCAGGTGCAGGCCAGGCTTCCTTTGGGATTGGTGAGGCGTCCGCGGGAGAACCGCAGGCGGTGGACCAGAGGCTGAGCCGTGGAGGTGACTTACTTTGAGGAGGCAGCTGTTGAGAGGTGCGGGCACCGAGGTGCGGTGGATCACCAGGTCCTGGCCTGGGTTGTGCACATCGCAGATAAGCTCCAGGACGGCGATGCTGCGGGCCGTGGACACTGACACGCGGTGGTCCTCAGACCAGGCCAGTGGCTCCAAGCCGCTCACCGCGTACTGCAGTTTCACGGCCGGCTCTCGTCGAGTAACCATGAGGCGGAACGCGGCGCTGGGCCCGGGGGCCGCTTCGGTCGCGGGCTCCTTCCCGCCCCCTTCGCCCTCCTCCTCTGGGGACGGGGAGGGCTCTTCAGCCGTGGGCCCCACCGGGGCCTGGTCCGCCTCGCTCATCTTCCTCGGGGCGCAGAGGTCGGGTTCCAGGGCGCACAGAGCCCTCGCCACCGTTCCCCGGCCGCCCCCCTGCACCACGGCGCCGCCCCCAGCACTCTCCGCGGCCGTTCGCTCCCCTCAGGCCCGGAGCGCCACCGAGCCAGAAAGGACCCCGCCGTTGCTAGGCAACGCCACCCTGCTAGGTGGCCGCGGAGCTGCCTGTCTGGAAAGTGCGCTCTAGGCGGGCTGACCCGTGGCGCGCCTGCGGCTGAGAGTAGAAAGTGGGAAGTTGCTTTGCTAGACACTGGGTGCTAGGCCGGACTAAGAACCCAAGGAAAAGTGAGTCTCGTGTGGGTGATTGAGACGCTAAGAAGACCAGCGTGGCGGCTGAAGGAGACCCCGCCAGGTGGGCGGTGCGCGGCCTCTTCCGGTTTCTGAGGCATTCGGGACCTCTTGGCTTCGGCCGGTGCGCGCGCTACCGCGACTCCCGGACCCGGAAGGGGCGGCAGCGGCCCGGCAATAGCTGCGAAGTGTCTCACCATCCACGTGCTGCTCGGGCTTCTAGCTCGGTCCGCAGCTCCGCGTCCCGGCCATGGCTACCGCCTGCAGCTCGCTCCCGGACCGGCCTCCCAGAACGTACTTCGGACGCCGCCAGGCCCAGACTAATCGGGTGAGTTCAACCCCAGCCCGGGAGCTGCGGCGCTCGTCAGGTCGGGTTGAGTTCTTCAGGGTGTCTAGAGGGACCGGCGGGAGGCGCTCGAAAACACCACCCGGGAACCTCTCCTTGGGGGCGAGAGCCGGACGAGCTCCTGAAAGTAGCTGAAGAACTAGTTAGTGTTAGGATTGGAGGCTGTAGGAACCGGTCAAGTTCCCGAGACTAGCTGGTGGTCTAGTTTCATAGGGTCAGTATTGGAGGTTGGAATGTATCCAGGCTGGAAAACAATCCCTAAGACATGACCGCCGTGCAGATCTTGACTCCTGAGCCGGGCGTTCTGCCGTAAGGAAAGTTCAGGTCTGTTAGGAATGAGGACTGGACTCATTTCTTTGAAGAGCTTTTAAAGCGGAGGTTTTCATCCAAGTAGCAGGGAAAGAATATACAGTCATTATAATCTGTTGCCTAGAGAGGGAAAAGGTGACTTAAAACGAACCCTACAGGAGCAAATAGCTCGTTTTATGGTTGTTGGTTTATCTTCTAGAAAGTCTGTAACGTAGTCTGTTGGAAAATCATACGTGATCAAAGATCAGGAACGAAGTGATTGGAGGTTTAACCCCCCCCTCCCACCACCACACACACCCAAAAGGTAATATGTAATCCCATGGAAATTGAAAAGCAAATTTCGGGTGAGTTCAGATCAACCAATGTTTTGAAGATAAACTTCTTTCATTATCTAACCCTCACTGCCTAGTTTCACTTTGGTAGAAGGAAGGAAGAACCTTAATAAGCTTGGATGCTTAGCAGTAAGGAGTCTTCAGCAAGCCATTGGTATAGCTGAATCTGTGTTTGAGGAGAAATACACAGACAAACCTTGAGGGTAGTGGAGGAGGAGACATGGGATTTACAGTACGATAGACCTGGGCTATTAGATACCAGCTTTGTAACACACTAGCCTATGATAGTTTCTCCTGTCCATAAATAGGAACATTAATTTGCTTCTTAGATTGTTATGAGGTTTCAATGGGATAATACCTGCAATAACTCTGTACATTGTCTGGCCCTTAGAGGCAGTTGCTGAGTGCCAATAATAAAAACAAAAGCAATGTTGTTTCCATTTGGGAAAGTAGATGGCTACATTAGGTCAGCAACATTGGATCAGAGTGGTGCTTGTGTCATGTGAACAGCCCAGTAGAAGGATGTACTTTGCTCACCTAGTATATGCAGGCTTTTGAGTTCTATCCCCAACTATACAAAAAGAAAGAAAATTCCAAAATTTTATTGAGTGAACAGAGTAAATAAGCAGATTATCTGGTTTTCTATTACTTCAACTGGTGTTTCTAAAGCGATTGCTCAAGAGGTAACTCAGGCAGGGTGTGGTTCACACGCCTTTAATTCTAGCACTCAGGAGGCCAAGGCCTTTGGATCTCTGAGTTTGAGACCATTCTGGTCTACATAATGAGTTTCAGACGGCTAAGGCTACAAAGTGAGAGACACCCCCACACCCCCACCCCCACCCCAAAAAAGAAGGAAAGGTAATACAGGCCAGTGAGATGTCTCAGTGGGTAAAGGTGCTTGCTGCCAAGTCTGATCACCCGAGTTTAATCTCCATGACTCTAGTGAAGGTGGGAGGAGAGAAACAACTCCTCATAGTTGTCCTGTGTCCTCCACATACAAAACCAATAGAAAAGATGCTGCAGGTATCCATAGAGACCTGACTGCATCTGTGCTTTGGTTTATGTATCCAAATGGGAGTGGAAGATGTGCAGATTTGCTCATAATGGAAACTCACGGTGGGTAGCTATTACACGGGATTTGGAAGGACCTTCACAGCTTAAATTGGGTTGCTCTGTCTTTATACTGTGCAAAATACTTTATTTTTTCATAAGGATGTTTTCTGGTTATTAAAATAATACAGTTTCATTTAAGAAAAATTAGAAGGTGCAAACCCACCCATAGTTGCCATACCCAGAAATAATTTTTAATATTTTAATGTATAGCCTTCAAAAAAACCCCAACTATGATATTTTCTAACCAAATAGGATAGAGTTAATCAGGCATCTCAGCATTATCTTCATGGAAGAGCATGGTACATTCTGGGAATTTAAGAAAGACTGGATTTTCTAACCAAATAGGATAGAGTTAATCAGGCATCTCAGCGTTATCTTCATGGAAGAGCATGGTACATTCTGGGAATTTAAGAAAGACTGGCAAAGCTGTGGAGATGAGTAGAGGTTGTATTCTGAGGCTTCCTAGACCTCCTTGTAGAAATTTCAGTGTTAGCCTAACGGCAGTGGAGAACCTGCTTCAGTTCACTCCAAGCACTTGTTTTGTTTGTGAAAGGCTCTTACTCTGTAGCCTGGTGGCTTGGAACTCACTTTGTAGCCCAGGCTGGCCTAAAATTCAGAGTCTTCCTGCCTTAGTCATGACTACTGGATTTGTATGTGTAAGCCACCATGCTAGCTTTTGGGTGCTTGCTTTTAGAGAGACCTTGACTTATCTGTAAAGAGTGAGTAGGATGCTGTGGTGTCTAAAATCTGTGTACTACCTGGAATGTTTAGTCCAAAGAAGGGAAAAGGAAGGGTGTGCAAAGGAGGCTGTAAGCTCGCTCTGTTTTGCTACAACAGCATTTTTCAGACTGGTACCTGGGTGCTCAAGGAGGCAGGTCTTGTCTTGATTGGCAGAAAAGTTTCCTGAACCTGAGACTGGCCTGTAGCAGAATAGGTTGTATGCTGAAGTGGTGGAGGTATATGGGCAGAGGCTGCTAGGCCAGCTCAGGAAACCTGTGGTGGATGACCTTCAGACCTTTGTGACTATCAGGTGAGGCTTGCAAATCACATGCTGTCTGACAAATGATCCAGCAGACCTGAGACCTGACTTCATTTTTCTTTAACTGGAAAATTCATAAACTTGGAACTTTTCAAAGACAAATTTTAAGGTGAAGAGGCTAGTGCTCACTTTATTGATATTCAATACTTGAAATTGTGTTTATTGAATTCCTTAAAGGAATTCTTAAGAGTGCCAGGAAAAGACACTTGTCTTTTTTCGTTGGTAGGTTGGTCTGAAACTGACAGTCTTGGTGAAACAAATCAGTGTGTAAACACAAGTTGTTTCAAGTAAAGAGGAAAAGAATGTATTCTAAAACTCAGAATTAGAAGCACTGGCTGTCATATATCCTTGCAGCCTGGAAGAAAAGGCCAAAGAAAATAGGAGAATCTGGTGCTTCTTAGAGGGCAGTGGTTCTCAACCTTCCTGATGTTGTGATCCTTTAAAAACAGTTCACAACACAAGTGGTCACCCCAACCATAAAATTACTTTTGCTGCTATTTCATAACCATCATTTTGTTACTGTTATGAATTATAATGTAATATCCAATATGCAGGATATCTGATATGTGACCCTTGTGAAAGGGTTGTTTGACCTGGAGTTGCGACCCAGAGGTTGAGAACCACTGTTCTTGGGAAAGTTTGGGCACCATGCATTTAATTACATTCCTTTTGTGAGAATAAGCAACAGGCAAGAAGTGCCTAATGGTGTACGTTATTGATCAGCAGTCAGGAAGGGACTTCGAAGGCAAGAGGGTTGGAAACAGTACGATGGAAGTGATGGATGGAGCGCCACTCTCATTTGGAGTGGGAATGGCAAGTAGCAACTGACTCCAGACCATCTGAATCTGAGCAGCTTGAGGGGAGAGGATGACAGATCCAAGCCCTAGGGAAGAATAGTAATGACAGTTTCTGCTTCCTGGGCATGAACTAGGATTCAGCACCCCATTCACCTCTCCAGTTTCTTCTTAACATGCTTTATTGGTAGAAAAGAACAGATTCATTTCCCTGTGTGCCTCTGTTCTCACACAAAATGGATTCCTAGGGGTGTGGTTTGACTTAATAAGCATTCGTGCTTCACAAGGTAGGTTCTTGCTTCCTTAGAACAGACTGAATTGATTAACGTCAGCTGGCAGGACACTTCTGTCTTCATGATCCCCACTCTCATCTTGGGTGACTTAACAGTTTAGATGGATGGAGGTCTGATAGATGAATGGACTGAGATTGTGTGTCTCTCCCCTCCTCCACCTCCCCCCCCCCCCCCCCCCCCCCCCCCCCCATTTCAGATGAAGCCAAGGAATCTGGTTATAAACCCTAAACTGATGGTTGGCATATGGGGCATAATGATCTCTGCAGGAAGAGATACATTTTGTGGGCAGTCAGGCTTCACTCTGAGGATTGTCTTCATGGACTAATGCATCTCTTCTTGATCTTTCCTTTTGGGAACAATGCAGCAAGCAGAGGCTACCAAGAGAAAGCACCAAGTGTCCAGTGGTGCTCCACCAGCGAAACGGAGGAATGAAATATCCTCTCTTTCAGCCAAGGAAACCATTGATAAAGAAACTCCAAGAACATTTAAGGGGAGTGCACACAAAACGTTTCCTCCAAAGACGTACTTGGACAGTACAGGCAGTGGAAGGCAAGAGAAGCCATGCATCAAGACTTCGTCACTGTTTAAAAACAATCCTGAGATCCCAGCACTCCACAGGTGTGTTTTGCGGTGCAGGTATACTTCGGCTGTGAGCAGCCACGGACGCCGCCTTTTCCTTTGCCACCTTGGCACTGATGCACACTTTGTCTTTCCTCTGCAGAGCTGTAGTAAAGCAGGCTCGAGAGCAAGTGTTCTCTCCAGAGGCATTCCAGGAGCTGGACCTCCACCCACACCTAGTAAGTGTCCCACCCTGCTCTGCAGGTGCTGTGGTCTGTGTTCTTGTTCATTCTGTTTCTGCTCTTGGCTACCCAAGTGAACTTAAGTGATGGGCATTCCCTGACGGCAGCCTGGGTTGCTGTCCTCACTCTCCTCTCCAGTGAATTTTAAGAAGTGCTGACTTTCCTCACCCAATTTAGTTTCTGTTCTGGATTTCATTTATTGGGCTTAAAGCAGCTTTCTAATTACTGGTAGATGTGGTGAAACTGGTGGCAGATGTCTCTGTGGCCTTGGGAAAAGAGCTAAGCTGGCTTCTTACTGTCAAGAGACATGCAAATTTTTGGAGAATGAAGACAAAGAAGGCTATTTAAAGTGTGTTTTCTACGAGCAAATGGACACTTTCTTTCCCCTTTTGTTTAATACCTTGAGTGAGTTTTCTAGTTACTGTGAAAAAGGAGAGAAAAAGACATTGCCTTTGAAGCCTGGATTCCCTTGTCAGCTGGGCACAATTGACCTCTTCTTTTTGGTAGGCTGTGTAGGATTGCTTCTCAGCCTGAGTGTTAGGGGGTTAGGTGATGAGTTGTGAGGGTTTCCTTGTGCATTGTCAGTTTGTAATAGCATCCTGATTCTACAAACTAGGAACCCACCTATAAGAACCAAAAATTCTTCAGGTTCTGTAGGGTAGAGGGCAGAAACCACCTACCACCCCTGAAAATACTGGGATTTAATATGATCATAAATGTCAAGTGCTGTTGTCACTACAGTATTTTGTCTTTATGTCATTGAATATATTTGTATTAAATTGATATACTTATTTTCCTTTTCTATTTTAGATTTCCACAATAAATACAGTCTTAAAAATGTCGAGTATGACCAGGTAAGAGGCTGAGGCTGTTCTTGACACACACACACACACACACACACACCCCCCCCCCCCCCCCCCCGCCTTTAGGGTTTTAATTCCATTATCCAAGAGGGCAGAACACATTTGTGTCTTGGTGCTGGGAATAGCACAAACTGCTGAAGGACTTGACATGACACTTAGCCTGTGGGGCTCTCCACCTGCTTGCAGGCAGACCAGGTTTCTTTCCATTTCTGCACTCAGCTCCCTACTGCAAGACAGCTGGTTTAGGATATCTGCCATCAAGGCATCTCTGAAAATGACTTGAGCCAAAATATAGTATTTAGTCGTGTTATTTATTAGCAGAAAAATAAAGTCAGTCAAGAAAAGGGAGTAAATATTTGCTTGGGTGTAGTGGGATACTGAAAAGGTTTTCTAAATGTCTGCTGATTGGAGACACTTGTAAGAGAGAAATTCAGAGTTAAAGTATAAGCAGTGAGCTGTAGAGTCATAGTTCACTTTGCATAAGTAAAAAGCAAGAACACAGAAGACTAAAGAACCACCAGCTTTTTCCATTTTGTTTTGCTTTTGTTTTTGAGACAGTCTCATAGACCAGCCCAGCTCAGTTGACCTCAAATTTATTTTCCTCTTACCTCAGCTTCCCAAATTAAAGGCACACGCACCATGCCTGGCTTGGTTTGCTTGTTGGCTCAACCAAATTTAAATGAGTTCTCTATCCATTTTGGGCTTGGGATTTAATATACATATAGATAGTGTTCTCAGTATATGTGGCCATTTTTTCAGAGGGAGGTTCTGGTGCTGCTTTGCTGCTGCCTGCAAGCTTTTGCTTTTCTGTGTGGAAATCTTATCTGTGCTACGTGTTGCTAATCCCATGTTGAACAGCAGGCAGGAGGGTGTGTAGTATACTTTGGGAGTGACTCTGATTTATTGTTATGCCTATCCTCTTTTTTGTTGTTGTTGTTTTTGCTTGTTTTTTTTTTTTTTTTTTTTTTTTTCCCAAGATAGGGTTTTCCTGTATAGCCCTGACTGTCCTGGAACTCACTTTGTAGTTCAGGCTGCCTTCAAATTCACAGAATCTCCTGCCTCTGTCTGATGGGATTAAAGGCATGCCCCACCAGTTTTTTTGTTTGTTTTAATTTTTAATATTTCAGCCAATCTCTGGCTTGCTTCCCCACTTTCAGCCAAATTTCAGGAGTTTAAAAAGTTCATTCTGATCACCAGAATGTTCTCAGCACTTTCTCTCAATGAAATAACTTTGGGCAGTAAGTAGGCACAGCCAAATACCAGGTGTTTGCATGTCGAGTAACCCGTGTATCTGTCTGCATGCATGACTGAGCCATGTGGTAAAGAAGAGGTGTGTTCTCTCTTTTGGGTACCCCAGTGTTCAGAAGCAGAGTATCCCAGTGCTGCTGGAAGGCAGAGATGCCCTTGTGCGGTCCCAGACGGGCTCAGGTCAGTTGCTGTTTATCCTGCCCCTTATCCCAAGGTACCTAGCCCATGATTAAATGTGTTAGACTCATCAGGAAGGTGTCTATGGTGGCAGAGTATGTTTTGTCTTTTCTGGGGAGGGTGACCATGCTTGCTTTTGATGGGAAGCCCAAAGCTTTTAATAGCTGAAGGAAGGTGGTGATGCTTCTATGGTCAATAGTGTTGAGGGAGTATTCGTAGTTGAGTTCTGCTGCTTTTCTGTGCCTACTACCATAGTGGCCAGTCAGTTTTCACTATGGATGGAGTGACTGTTTATGGCTTGAAAGCAGTTCTGGCCTGATCACAGTCGATGTCAGGGATAGACAGACCACTTTCTTCCTGGTCTGCTCTTCTGACCCATTTTTGCCTTCTTGCCAGCTCAGCCATGTTGAGGAGAAGCCCACAGTTTCCTTTAATCTTTCTCTGTCTTCAGAGGCTGGCTTGGGTTCACACTTGGCACACCAGTACCACAGAAGCTGTTTAATGGAGGGAGAACTTCAGAGCAGCCATTTCCTAGCTTCCATGGACGACTGTGAGGCTGAGTTTCTGTCTAATTTGAGAAACATCATTACCTCCCTTGTGGATAACTTAAGGAGCTGAAGCTTCAGGGTTTTTTGAAGTACTAAATTACAAAACAAAGTTAGGAGTCATGGCAGACAGGTAAAGTGCCTCTTAGATGTAGAACACACAGTTTATCTTCTCCCAGATTTAGCATTATTTACAGAAAGCAGAGCCTGTTTGCATCCCCACTGATGCCATTCTCTTTTAAAAGGTAAAACTCTTGCCTATTGCATCCCTGTGGTCCAGTCTCTTCAAGCACTCACATCAAAAATACAGGTGAGCAGAAAATGTATTTCTGTGCTGTGGTCTATTGTGCCCATGCTGCTGCCCAGCTGAACCCTAGTGGCAATGCTAGAGTCGTAGGGTCTGTCTGCACTTAGCATTGTTTCTTCTCTTCCTATCAAACTAGGTGTGAGTGGGCCAAGAGTGGAGTGTAATAAAGACATCACAGCCACCACTGTCTTTGTGTGGGGCATGTGAGTAGAATGCTTCCAGTGTGCCATATGTGCCAAGTGCTGTCCACATATCACTTGCTTGGCTCCCATCTTCTGCCCATTAAGTTGTGGGGGTTACTGTGACCCTAGTAGTGTAGGCAAGTAAAATAACCAAGGCCACATAGAACTACCAATGGACTTAGAGCCATACTTCATTTCTGTGGGACTCCAGAGAGGAAGCTTTGTCATCAGGGCCATGATTTGTGGTGAAGCTTTGTTGATAGTTCCTGCCTTGTTAGGGGGCCTTGCCTTTTTCTTACACAGTATGCAGCATTGGACCTCCTACAGAATTACTGTTAGGGAAATGTGCCAACATGCTTTGACTGGCCCCATTCATATAGTCTCATATCTTGGGTATCTGTTGTACATGTGTGGAATTAACCCAATGTGTTTACTTTTGAGTGAGGAGAGCTGTGCTTTGTATTTAACATGGTGGATTATCAGTACTGAGTGGAACTGAGTGCCTATTAGTGGGTTTAGCAGTCAGGATGCTATATAGTCAACATTATCTAAAATTTGTTGCTGATTGTGAAACATGGTTAATTACCCAGGCCAGACTAGCTAACGTTAGATTGAGAAGCCCAGTTGGCTGCTGTAAACACAGACTTCATCTTATGGCCCAAACTTTCTCACATGTGCAGTGCCATTACTTTCATTTGAGTGAAAATGATGAGAACAGAGATAGGGTGTCGGGTGAGTGCATACTGACAGAGGTCTCACTTCAGGCACATAGATGTGGACATGCCTCAGACCTAACTGATCAGAATGTAGTAGAGGAATGTTGCATTGTAGAGGAAATTCTTGAGCCTTTAGATTGAAGAGAAGACAAGTAAGGAGCTGAAATAGCCAGCACGTGGTGAACTGTCTCTGGCATGGATCATCAGAGGCTAAAGTGAGTAGTTGATAGTTAGATGAGAAATGGTTTCTCCATGGCCTTCAAGTGTCCATACAGGAACTTCTGAACAGATGGGAAAGACGGTAACTGTAATAGGAAGCATTGGCTGCCGCTCCTTAGGCAGTCTTAAGAAGGATATGTTACTTGTGTAGTTTATTTTTGTTGTTGTTGTTTGCCTAAAATGAGTTTAATCTCAAGAGAACATGAGACAAATTCCTGGCCAGAAGTCTTTTGTTTTTGTTTTTGTTTTTTTAAGACAGGGTTTCTCTGTGACTTTTGGATTGGAGGCTGTCCAGGAACTAGCTCTTGTAGACCAGGCTGGTCTCGAACTCACAGAGATCCACCTACCTCTGCCTCCCGAGTGCTGGGATTAAAGGCATGCGCCACCAACACCCGGCCCTGGCCAGAAGTCTTTGGGAGTGTTAAAGGCATAAAAGAAAAATACTGAAGAATTGTCACAAGAGCATGACAAAGGAAGCATGGCCATGACACACATGGTGCCTGGGAGACTATAGACACCTAGAAGTCAGTTGATGAGATTGAATGAAGTCTGTAGATTAATAGTGCAGTCAGTCCTTATCTCCTGGTTTTAGTAATTATCCTGTAGTTTAAATGATGACATGTAGAAGTTGAGACTGTCAGAGTTAGTTGTATAACTCATCCATTTTACTTTTAATTTTCTTGTAAAAACCGGAGCTTTCAAAACAAATAGGTTAAAATTTGTTTAAAAGTGAAGTTTCTTTATAACTTTGTAGGCTTGAACAAGTGTTCCTGCTGTGTTAGCTTAAGAAATGCAGGCTACAGAGCTGCATGCTGTGACTGAGGTTTCACAAATGATAGTTTGTCTTGTGACTCATAGCAAACTAGAATGACACTAGCAAATTGTGGGCTTTTTCTTTTTTGTCATTTGAGAAAGGGTCTCATTTAGCTAAGCTTGAGCTCTTGATCTTCCTGCCTCTGCTTTCCAAGTACAATGTGGACATTTGCTACCATGTCTTTCTCAGCAATTTTTTAAATTAAATAGCAGACATGCATATAATATCTTTGGATATGGTTCCTCCTTTGTGCCCCCTACTTTTCCCTCCCAACCCCCGCCCCCTTCAAATCTAATGTCCATGTAGTGCTCGGTGTGTGTGTGTGTGTGTGTGAAACCTAGAGATATCTGGGAAGAAGGAATCTCAGAGTAATTGCCTCCATCAGATTAGCCTGTAGGCAAGTCTGTGGGGGCATTGTCTTGATTAATAATTGACATGGGTTGACCTAGCACACTGTGAGTGGTGCCAACCTAGGCAGGTGGTCCTGGGTACTATAAGAAAGCAGGCTGAGCAAACCATGAGGAACAACCCAGTGAGCAATATTCCTCTATGGCCTCTGCATCAACTCCTGCTTCCAGGATGCTCCCTTGACTTTACTTCATGATGGACTATAAACTAAGCCAACTTGGTTTTGGTCAGTATTTTATCACAGTAGTAGAAAGGAAACTAAGACAGTATACTAAGACAGTATATGATTATGGGTCAGTAAATTGTTAACAGTGTTTTTCTCTGAGGTAGGTAAGTGAGGAATTCTATTTTCCAAGGGTAAAATGACTTTTCCTCTATTAAGAACTTTACAGAGAGCTGATTCATGTACAGTGCATATAGCCTTGTCCCTAGCATACAGTCAGTGAAGAGTGATAATGCTTGTGACCAAATCTCACCCTTAAGATTCTAGGATAGCTTTCTAGTAAAGGGTTTTTGTTTGTTTGCTTGCTTGTTTTTTTTTTTTTTTTCTTTATACCAAGTTGCAGAGTTTGACAATATTGAGCTGGAATGACTCTTACACTTCCAGCCTAGTTCTCTAAATGGTAAACCGAGAGCAAGAGATTAGATGGCATACATATCTGACAGGTGGGAGGTTCTGCTCAAACCCTGGCCTGAGTGGTGATTTTATTTTTATTTCAAATGCTGAGACTGAGCCCAGGGCCTGTGCAGGTTCATTTCATTCTCTGTCATGACATTCTCTCCTGTCCCAAGTATAACTGGGCATATACTTTTATGCCTTTGTTTCCAGGGTTATGACAACACAGAGTGAGCTGCTCATGTGAAGTGTTGAGACCTAGCATCTGGTCCCTAGATATTACCTGTTATCAACACTGTCATGTGACCATTTCAAACAACACTGATTGGATCTGCTTATATTCAGAGGTATTAATAATAGGCCATATGGTTGTATATTTGCTCAAGATCACTAAGACCAAAGATCAAAATGTTCTGTAAAAATGGTTTTCCGAGCTGGGCATGGTATTGCATCCCTTTAATCCCAGCACTCCAGAAGCAATGGCAGGCGGATTTCTGAGTTTAAGGCCAGAATGGTCTACAGAGTGAATTTCAGGACAGCTAGGACTGTTACACAGAGAGAGAACCCCTGTCTCAAAAAAAACCAAACAAACAAACAAACCACAAACAAAAAGTGATTTTCCAAACTAAACGTGGTGACACATGCCTGTACTTCACTTCAAACACTTGGGAGGATGGTGGTTAAAAGACAGCTTGACCTATACAATCAAGAGCCTGTCTCAAAAAAGAAGGAGGAGGGAGAGGAGGAGGAGGAGGAAAGCATAAATGTTTTTATAAGTTCCAATTTGAATATTTATTTCATTGTATGTGTAAGGGTGTTTTTGTCTACATGTGTGTTTGTTCAAAATGCCTGGTTCCAGTGGAAGTCAGAAGAGGGTATCAGATCCCTGGAACTAGAATTACAGTAAGCCATCTCTTGTGCAGAAGTGTGTGTGTGTGTGTGTGTGTGTGTGTGTGTGTGTGTGTAAAGGCAAGAGCAGCAAGGAGCCATCTCTTGTAAGCCTCAATTTAATTCACTTTTTCTAGTTGTATTCAGTGAAGCCCCTTGTAATTCATCATAAAATGATGTGACCTGGAAGCCATAAGCATCTAGTCCTGGACCCTGGCCTGTTCCCAGCCAAGGGGCTGGCGTAGAGTAGACACCTTCAGTGTCTGCTCTCTCCCAGTTATTTTGGCTTTGGCTCTGATTTTTTTTTTTTTTTTTTAACATTACATCCATCCTGCTTCAAGTACTTACGCCCTGTGAGGAATTGGTGTTTCTATCTTCTTGTCTATGTAGTAACACCTTTTGAAATGTCAGAATCTCCTATCATCACTTGGTGGCACATTAATCCTGTTGTACTAGCATGTTTACTGTTCCTCTCTGGGGCTCCAGTGCAGTCTCACAAAGTTGGTGTTGAGTATAGACTCCTCAGGTTTGAATTCTAAATCCTTCTCTCCTGAGTAAATGTTTCCAATGCAGAACATGAAAGCCAAACACTAATTGGATTTGCTGCTGAGCCCATCCTTCATTTGCACAAATTGCTCGATCATGCTCTCTGAGCCCTTGATGAGAAATGCACCATTGACATAGTACCTTCTTTACATTGCTTTGGATTTTTATTATTGTTGTTCAGATACACCATGTCTAAAGAATTAAAAAGTTCAAAGAATTCCAAGGATCTATAGGGTGTAAGCAAAGCTTCACCCTCTCCAGAGTCCCAGTATGCTTCCTATACAGGGTGTCTCTTTCCAGGGACAGCCTGTCACATCCATCAAAGGGGACTGCACACTTCCTCTTTGCCTTTTTATGTGGAGTCATTTGTTTCTGGGTTGTGCTGAACACACAGATGCTTACATATGATATCATTTGCCCTTTTGATACAGGGTGTAGTCCAAGCCACCCTCACTCAGTCTTCCTGGGATAGCAGCTGTGCTGTCCTTATCGTGCCTTGGGTGGTTTCTCACTGTGCCACATTGACCTGACCTGTCTGTTGTTGCTTGCTTGCTTGTCTTGCTGCTTTGTGGCAGGATCTCTTGCAGCTTAGATCCCTGCTCTTCCCTCTGCCTCCCATTATGTGTGTGTCATAATACTGAGCCATGTCTATATCGGTAAGTGATATTTATACATTATGTCCAGAAAACAACAGTTAAAATTCTGGACACCTGTGAAATATTCTCCAGCTCCTTTACACACATGTAAACATGTAGGAATAATTCCTGGAAGTAAGATTTTTGTAGTTTTGTTTTAATAGCTAAAGCCAAAGTTGATCTGTTAAGGAGTTTTACCAGTGTGTGCCACCAGCAGTGTGGTGTTTGGTTGGCCATACCCGTTCGGCATGTGGCCACTTTATAAGTCTTTCTGTATTTGATTCTATTCCAAACCCAGTTTCTGTTGTAACCTCAACATGCCAGTGCTACTTTGTGACTGCTATAGCTTTCAGTTACTTTATGGAGATATGTTTCCCACAAATATCTTAGTGACTTTTGTACTTTTAAAGATAACTTACTTTGGAATTGTCTGTGGGAGGCTCTACTGCCCACATTCCCTGTGACATTTGTTAGGACTGCATTACAGTCATTAACCACTTAGGGAGTAATCACTATGATATTGAACCTTCTCTAAAGAGAGGAAGGATACATCTTTCCTTAAAAAAAAAAAAAAAAAATGCCCCTCTGGTATGTTCTAATTGTTCTTCAAATAGATTTGATACTTTTCTCTTATTTTGAAAGTTTCTCACTGTGTGGTCCAGGCCAACCACAGGCTCAGGTCCCCCTCCTAGCCTCCTAGGTGCTAGGATTGTAAATGTGAGCCCTCATGTCTCATAGATTTCACACATTATATTTGTGTCTTTTGTTGTTGTTATTGCCATTGTGTGAAGTTTTCCTTTTATTACAGTTTCTAAATTTTTTTATATATTGGAAAGTCATTGAATTTTAGTTGGTTTAGAGCTTCGAAATCACTCTCACTTGCTGTACTGCCTTGGTTTCCTGAATGCTGTGAATGAATGTAGATGTATGTTACTACACCAAACCTGGCTTCTTGTTGGTTTTGGAGACAGGTCTTTCTATACTGCAGCCCTGGCTGACTTAGAACTCACTATAGTAACCAGACTGGCCTCAAAAATCAGAGGTCTGCCTGCCTCTGTCTCCCAAGTGCTGAGTTTAAAGGTGTGTGTTACCATGCCTCACTTAGCCCTTTTTTTTTTAAGATGTATATTTTATCTGTGTATATGCTTGTCTGTAGAGGCCAGAAGAGGGTCTTAGATCCCTTGGAACTAGAGTTACAGAGAGTTGTGAACCACCATGTGGGTGCAGGGAACTGGATCCTAGTACTCTGGAAGAGTAGCCACTGCTCTTAACCACTGAGTTCTCTCCTCCAGCCCCCCATTGGCTATTCATTTTTATATTTTGCATTTAGCTACTTGACTGAAATATTTTATCGACTCTGTTACAGTTTCTAAGATAACGTTATCTCCTTGTGATTATAATTTTGTTTTCATTTTCAAGTTCTGTACATATTTCTTCCTCCTGTTTGGTTGAATGGGGCAGGAGTGTTGGCACAGTAGTCTGTCATCATAGGTATTGTGGGCATTCTTGTCTCTTCCTTTTCTTCCATAGAAATGTTTCTGATGTTTTTAGCTGACCACTCATAAATCATCTGTTTCAATCTGACCTTCTTTGGTCCTCCTCATGGAATCCTAGTCTAGTCTAGTCTTGTCTTGTCTTGTCTTGTCTTTTCTTTTCTTTTCTTTTCTCTTCTTTTCTTTTCTTTAAGGCCCGCTCTCATATAGCTAAAGCTGGCCTCAAACTAAAAACTTTTGACTCGCCTATCTTAGCCTAGACCTGGCATTCGACTCATTGGCATTTCTTTTTTCTATCAACAGCGCAGTGATGGCCCCTATGCGTTGGTCCTAGTGCCCACCAGAGAGGTAAGCAACTTGCCTGTTAGGTGAGGTTTGTGCATACTTTGTGACAGCCTGTTGAAGTGCTTTCTCCACTTCCTGCCATGTTGTTAAACAAGTCATTGTGTATGCTTTCCTTCATGCTCCTTTCTGGGAACCATTCTGCTGATATTTGAATGCTCTTTGAAAACCCTGAGCTAGGCATGGGAAAACATTTCCTCATTCTCAAAAAAATCTAAGGATACTCAGATTAATGATCCTTCAAAGGGGAATTGCATTTTTTGTTTGCTTGTTTTTCCATATAGGCTTTCTCTGTGTGTAGCCCTGGCTGTCCTAGAACTCACTTTGTAGACCAGGCTGGCTTTGAACTCACACATATCTGCCTGCCTCTGCCTCCTGAATGCTGGGGTTAAAGGCGTGTGCCACCACTACTGGGCTAGAATTGCACTTTTATACTTTAAATATTTTAAAGAAAGTAACTGAAAACATTTGGGTATAAAATAAAGCTACTGCTGCTGTTAATTCTTCCTTCTTCATGAACACCTCTGTCAGAGCTGCAAGATATATCCATAGGGGCAACTGTTAGATGTCTTCGTGAACACTTACAGGAAAATTTCCAGACGACCCTTCCTCCCTCCTTTCCTTTCTTTTCCTTTGCTTTGCTTTGCTTTCCTTTTTTCCTTTTCCTTTTCCTTTTGCTTTTGCTTTCCTTTGCTTTTTTTTTGCTTTGCTTTCCTTCCTACCAAGATTTTTTTTAATATTAGTGTTTCGCCTGTGAACCACGTGTGTACAGAGCCCATGGAGGCCAGAAGAGGATGTCAGATACCTGAAACCAAAGTTAGAGATAATTTTGAGCTACTGTTTGAGTGCTGGGAACCGAACCTGGGTCCTCTACAAGAGCAGCCAGTGCTCTTAACTGCGGAGCCCTCTCTTCAGCCCTTCTGGTCAGCGTTTCATACAGCCGCCCCTGTCTGTTTTATCCCAAGAAGGAGCACACGCAGGGAGGCACATTGAAACGATTTTAGCAGTCAACCTGTTGCTTCCCTAGAACGCCATGCACACTAAATGTGGGAACAACACATAACCTTGAACATAATTCTGCCTGAGCTATTTTGATAGTGTTTAATGACTGCTACCTACATTAATTTTACTTGTCCTATATACATTGGGTTCACTGGGTTTTTGTTTTGTAAACTTAGGAATGACACCTCTATCTTCAGATATCCTGCTATAGCCTTAGGACATGGCCAAGTTCCCCAAGTGCCTGTCAGGCCACTGTTGTCCTTTATTTGAACTATTCTGTATGGCACTTTGGGAATTTGAGCCAGCAGAGGGAGCACAAAACACTATTTTTTGTATGTCTAAGAAATATATGTGATGTCTTCACCCTCATTCCCTAAATTAACAGACTCCAAAGCTTGTTTAAGAATTCTTAGAGTATTTTCAGGGCGATTTCCTATGTGGGATTACCTGTCCTAAGCCTTGAGGTATAGGGTTGCACCCTGATCAATTTAGATTGTCTTGTCTTAAAAAGTGTAAAAAGAAAACAAGGGCCCTGCTCACTGTCTCCAACTTTTAATATTTACAGCTGGCTCTGCAGAGCTTTGACACTGTCCAGAAGCTGCTCAAGGTAAGATAAGCCATGAGGCAGTATTGTCTTCCTTTCTGACGTTGCGAGAGAAAAGCCATATGGCATAGTCTGTTGTCGGAAAGTGAGAATGGCTCCTGTCTCATCTTCCCAATGTGCCTCTGGCCTCCTTAAGAGCAGTTGGTAGATTTCACTGGCAGACCTCAGTAACTTTTTTTTTTGAGACAGGTTTTCTCTGTGTAGGCTTTGAACTCACTCTGTAAACCAGGCTGGCCTTGAACTCAAAGATTCAACTGCCTTTGCCTCCTGAGTACTGGAACTAAAGGCCTACACCCATCTAATAACTCTTGCTAGTAGTTGCTAGAGGTTACTGTTGTTGGCTCACTTGACTTGAAGTGACTTAAAGGCCCAGCCCTTAGGTAACCCAGTGGAAAGTAGCAAGAACCTGTAAGGGCATTCAGGAGAGAGAAAACAGAAGGGCCAAGGTTCAGCACCCACAAAAGTTGACCTTTTTGTGGTCTAGTAGTGAGTGGGGAGTGTATTGCTTAGGTTTTATCTCCCACCCTACCTACAAGACAATGGAATACATTTTCTATTTTGACACCATGAGGAAAAATGCTTTGTGTGTGTGTGGGGGGGGGGAGTGCTACTTGGATTATTTTACAAGTTCACATTTGTCCTAACAGTACTTCTGGTTTAGTACTGCAGCTAATAACCTTAGGTACCTCGGTGCCACCAGGCTGCATCTGCACAGAAACTCCTTTCACACTACAAAGCCCAAATGCACCCTGCTATACACTGGCTTATGCTAGGATTTTAGGATCAGCTCTGCTTCTAGGGAAGGGTCTTTCTGTTGATTGTGGTCTGGTATTTTTATGTAGCCATTCACTTGGATTGTTCCTGGAGTGTTGATGGGTGGAGAGAAGAGGAAGTCGGAAAAAGCTAGGTAGGAAGTGGGTTTGTTTATTTCTCTTGGAGTTTTGTCTGCTCTGTCTTGTTCAGTAACTTGGTTCTTTAGCATGCAAGAGAGCCTCCTCTGCTTCTGTGCCTCCTGGTCCCCACATGCAGACACATGCCAGGTCAGCTGTCACCTCTAGACAGTGCTGTTTATCACAGATTCCCTTTTGATACAGTTAGTGACAGTGCTATGACCTGCTTAACCCACCCACTTGGTGCCCTACAGGCCCCTTGTTTGCTATGCTCTCCTGCATGTGACTCTCTTTGGTGCATATTTGAGAATTTGGTTTTGCTGTTTAGATTATAAAAACAAGAAGATAGGTAGGCTGGGCTACATGAGAGTCTGTCTTCAAAATCAACAGCAACAACAACAGGATGATAATTTCCTTAATGCTTAGGTCTTAATGTATTGATTCCCAGCTCTGCATTGAAGCTTGAGATGGATGTCATTAGAAAATTGTTAGATGGGTACTTTAGCAGTTACACCAGTTCTTTGAATTGTCTGTAACTTGAGAGTGAACATAAAGCTTGACACTTAAAAACAATGATCAGATTAGATTCAGCTATGGGGTCCAACAGCAGTGGGGTCCAGGTGTGGCTTCTCCATCTTTGTGTGTCCTTGTGGAAACTGCCATTTTCAAGATTACCTCATAGCTCCAGCCATTGCACTTTAGTTTCTTGCTTGAAGTGACAAAAATTGTCATAGAAGCTCCATTCAGAGGTGCACATGCGATTATATACTCTTCATTCTTCATTCCATAGCCAAAGCATAAGTGTGGTATGTTGCCACACTTGGCTGAAAACAAGAAAACCTAGCCAAGTAAGATTGTGTTCTGTCTTCTGCTATAAAATAATGCCATTATGGTTGTTTGGGGAATAGGAAAATTAATGATTTTTTTTTTTAAAGGATGTGAAGAATATGCTAAGGGAAATTCAGAGGGGAGAGAAAGTAGAGAGTGGGGGGGGCAGGTATGACTAAGATGCATTGTTTATCTTCCTAAATTATCCAAGAATAAGTTTAAAAAGAAGTAAGTTTTAGTCTACATCATCTTTGAGGCAAAGATCAGACCCATTTTATGGCAACTACCCAGAGGGCTCAAATATGAGAAAAACATCCTAACAGATTATGTCTTAACAGTTAGAATGTGTTTCCTAACAGTCAGAATGTGTGTCCTAACAGTCAAAATGTGTGTTCTAACATACCCACACTGAAGCCTTAAAGAACTGGCTATGGAGCTGAAAAGATGGTTTAGAAATTAAGAGTGCTTACTGCAAATTTTGGATTCCAGCACCCACAACAGGTGGCTCACAGACACCTGTGACTTCAGGTTGAAGGAATCCACCGCCCCTTCTGGCCTCCATGGACACCCAAGTGTATGCACACATAAAATAAGGGTCTACAGAGCAGTCAAAAGCACTTGGTCTTCCAGAGGACCTGAGTTCAGTCCCCAGTTCCATGTTGGGTGACTTATAGGCTGCTTGTAACTGCAGCTCCAGGGCCTCTTCTGGCCTGTGCGGACACTTGAATTCATGTGGCATATGCTCATATACACTACATAAAAATTATAATGTATATAAATCTTTAAAAGTAGATCTTGCTGGGCAGTGTTGGCATACTCCTTTAATCCCTGCACACGAGAGGCAGAGGCAGGTGGATCTGTGAGTTTGAGGCTAGCCTGGTCTACAGAGTGAGTTCTGGGATAGCAAGGGCTACCCAGAGAAACCCTGTCTCAAAAAAAAAAAAAGAAAAGAAAAAGAAAAAAAAAAGTAGATATTTTGAAAAGGATTGGCTAGATGCCCATCTATCGAAAAGAAAAAGAAAAAAAAAAAAAGTAGATATTTTGAAAAGGATTGGCTAGATGCCCATCTATCCAGGATATTCTAGAAAGACCTGTGAATCAGATAAAAAGCACTGAGCATTGGGTCATATGCTTAAAATTTTCTTTTAAAGTAAAGTTTGTGTGATTCAGTGTAACTAAATCTTAGCAGTTCTATATACAGAAGAATGAAATATCACCTGTTTGTTGTTTTCACTCAAGGCTTCAGCATTTGTGCTGGACACAGAATGAATGACTGTCTCCTTTGCCTGTTTTGACTGATGTGGTGTTTGACATACTTTCTTTTATGATACTTGATTTAAACAGACTACGAAAAGGCATAAATATCCTTATCTCAACTCCTGGGCGTCTGGTGGATCATATAAGATCCACAAAGAACATTCACTTTAACCGAATACAGTGGCTGGTAGTGGATGAAGCAGACAGGTAAACCTTGTCTAGGAAGCAGGGAAGGTGGGAGAAAGGGGTTGTTTGTCCTGCCATCTCGGGGATAATTCTGTGGCCTGGTAGTGTCAGGTTTCTTCCTTGCCTGGGTTAAAGTCCTTCTCTTACACCATCAGGATCTTGGATTTGGGTTTTGAGAAGGACATTACAGTGATTCTGAATGCTGTAAATGCTGAGTGTCAGAAACGGCAGAATGTCTTGCTATCAGCGACACTCACAGAAGGTGAGTTGAAAAGGAGCTGGGGGGCTGATGCCATGGGTGCCCCTCTCATAGGGAACGGACAGACAGCCTTTTCTGCCCTGCATGCCCATTACCAGGGGCCTGGGAGGCAGGCTGGCCCACCATTTGGTTTTGCTTGATGGTGGGACACAGGCAGGTCCCACTGTGATACTTTCTCCTCAGCACTAGTTTTAGAGTGACCATCCTTCTTTTTTATTACTAGTCCACATTCCCTAGTTCCTTTTTTGACTCCTCTACCCTTGCAAGAAATGATTGGCTTATTTGCATATGGGAAACTAAGGCTTAGAAAACAGAACCACTTCACCAGTTTCACCCTGCATAAAGAGTCACTGTGTAGACATAGCCAGAGCTTTTATGACCATGTATGATTTAGTTACTCTTCTAGGCCACAATATGATACACATGAGTTAGGTGCCATTTGTGTGGCTTGGAAAGTTTTATTAAGAAACACTAGTCTTTAGAGATAACCTTCAGAAAAGGGATTCTGTGACCAAATACATTTGGGAATTGTTTTATGCAGTCACTCTTTTGTGTAATGTAAACATTATTTCAGTAATGACCCTAAGAAGGCCTGCAGCCAAGAAGTCTATGGAACTATTTTAATCTAAGGTTTTGTGGTGACCAAAGAGTCTTTGGTAAAGTGAGGTACAGATACCTGATGAGAGCATAGAAAATGCTAGCATAGATGGACATTAGGCTGTGGATTACCCCACCAACATGGCAATAGGATAGGTCACTGCTGGATTTTCCTTTAAAACCTGGGTGGGTGGGTGTTCTGGGGATGTATATGTGACCATCCTGTTTTGTCGTTTTCACTGTATCCAAGGTGTAACACGGCTAGCTGATATCAGTTTGCACAATCCAGTCAGTATCTCTGTCCTGGACAAAATCTGGGATCAGCCCAACCCTAAGGAAGATGCTAGTACCCAGCTGGACAGCTTTGCCATACCAGAGAGTCTTGACCAGCATGTAGTGTTGGTTCCCAGCAAGCTTCGCCTTGTGTGCCTTGCTGCCTTCATCCTGCAGAAGTGCAAGGTAGGACTGTGCTTAGATCCGGCCGGATCTAGGGATGTGGAACATATTTCATTTGTGCTGGGTAAACATAGCAGTGAGATAAGGCCCCAGAACAAGACAGGAAGGGGGCTGTTAACTTTGTTCTGAGTGTGTGCGTGCATGAAAAAGTGGAAAAGAACCCAAGTTAAGTGCAGTGGGGGTCATAGCATTCACTTTGACTATACCTTGTTGGGACTAACATTAGGGGAATGTCATAGATGACAGGCATTCAGGAGTGAGGTGTTACTAGAAGACTCTTAGGCCAGGTGTATTTACTTACCAGATTCATGAGGTGACTCTGGGATATGAGTTAATATCTTTAGGAGTCACTGTGCATTGGGACTGTGGCCAGGAGTTACTGATTTTTGACAAGCCCAAAGTATAAGGGACAGCTTACCCTAAAGTACATTTGTTTTTCTCTTTGAGGTTGGAGCTCTTGTCACTTTCCTTTCTGTTGTCTTTGTGGAGTGGAATATCAATGTTGGTATTTTTTAATAATTAAAGGCTGTGTCAGTGTGTTTTCAAATAGGGGCCTGGCATGTACATGTACCGTAGAGACATGCGCATTTTACGGGCATCTATGCTAACGGCCATGTGCTTGCTTTCCCCTTGTGTTTGTGTAGTTTGAGAAGGACCAGAAGATGATTGTCTTTTTCTCAAGTTGTGAGCTGGTAGAGTTCCACTACAGCATCTTCGTTCACACCCTGTCTTGCCGCTCAGGGGCTCCCACTTCAGAGCAGCTACCATCTGCTTCCTGGCCACTGAAATTCCTTCGGCTGCATGGCAACATGGAGCAGGAGGTGAGCCCGCTTTCCCCACCCCGAATGCGATGAGCCTGGTGTACTTGTGTCCTTTTCAGGTTCTCCTGGGCCAGGAAAAAAAAAAAAAAAAACAGCCAAAAATGTAGGAGCTGCTGATAGATGCTGGTAAAGGAGCCTATTGTTCTTTGGGCTCCTGCTCTGGAGTGGCCTTTTCCACCTGAGAGAGCTCACAGGCCCGCTTGGCCTGTGACTACCTCAGCCAGCTGTTACGGCAACTGAGTAGCACTAAGTAGCTGGCACCAGGGAAGGCTTTTGCCTTTTTAGTACCCAGTGTGTAATTAGGGCTTGATGTCTTCAAATTAAGAGCATTAATGGAGCTAAATTGTGGATCCCATATGGTACCGCTGAGCACGGCGGCTGTCATTGTCAACAAGATACAGCGCTGCACTCTGTGAGCACTTTGGGCTGGGAGAGGGTACTGCACACCAAAAGGCTTTGGTCTCTGTTCTTCCCTGCAGAGTGAGCTTCCTGAAGAAGAGTACCCTTCCCTGCCTTTAGATGTTCTGTGTAAGTCTTACTCTTAGGCTCTTAACAAGGCCATCCTTCAGAAGTTGGTTGGTTTATGGGGAGGGGGCACCTCGCTCCTAGATGGTGCATAGATTTGAAATAAGAGCCATCTTGTGATGAGGTTTCAGGCATCTTAGGAAATCAGAAAGCTGTAAGTCAGGATAGCACAGAGCAGTAAACATTGAGAACTAAAAGACATGGTGGAGGTCTGAGGTTGGAAACAAGTCCATCCCCTCATGGTTTTGTTCTTTGACTTTAACAATTAAAGAAATGGGGCTCAGTGACCTTCTTGAAGGTCACTCATGGACACATCTTCTTTGCCACTAGATACATAGAAGTCACAGAATATTCTAGCCTTTGTTAGTTTCCTATTATGCTTTCCGTTCCCTGATTGGTTAAGTCGGTTGGTTTTGTTCTTGGGTATCATGTGTAGTTTGGGGTTTTTAATCCTCTGGGTGTTTGCCAGTCTCAGAGCCATTCTGCAGGAGGTGGCTGAGGATACTGTGTAACTCCAGGGGTTTCAGTAGGTCAGGAAAGATCCCTAGGTAAATGATCTCAGACTGTCTATCTTATGGGTGATGTAGTCCTCCATGGTGTGCCTTCTGGGACAGACTATTTGTGCTCTGACTCTGTTGGTTACTCTCTGACTTCAGGTAAGAATTTAAACCCTGTGTGCCTGTCTCCAGCTCTCCAGAGTCAGGTGATGGTGGTGTTTCTTTCATAGGATTGGTCTGCTACCTAGTTCATGCAGATGAGCCTGGCATGTAGTGAATACTCAGCACTCATTATCTGTTGATGTTCTTAGTTTTATTTTTCTCGGAGATAGTTCAGCATTCCTCGAAACTTAAGAATTGTTAGTATTCAGTCTTCACTGACTCCTCATAAGCTATGAAGAAGGCAGGAGGTAGTATCCCTGCTTCTTGTCCTATATCTATCAGAGTTAAGTGTCTTTTTCTAGACTAATTCCAAACAGTCCAGTTGCATCTTCCTAGTGTGTTATCTGGGACTGCCCCAAGACCTGGGAATGGCCTCCCTAGAAGACTAGAGACTTTACTGTGTGAAGATATGTTGTAGTTGTAATGAAAGCCCAAGCATTTGGTACACATTTTTTTCTTACCCCATACGTGAATGAATCATGTGTAGTCTCTGAAACATTTCACACTTTTACTTTTTCTGGTTTTGCTTCAATGATACAGCAATAAGTATTACAGAGATCATGCAGCATTTGTCCTTTCTGTCCAGCTTGGACCCTGCCACATGCCCTGTTTTCCTGTAACTATGAGCCTGTTCTACAGGCGAGTTCCTTAACTTGGAAAGCACCTACTGCCGTGCCCCTTGATGGTTCCCTGAGTGAGTTGTGCCCTGGGTTTGCAGTCATGAGACAGAGTACATGCTCATGTATGACCAGAACTGTTCACCATGCTGCAGTGGGGCTATGCCAGTGCCCACAGGGAAACATCCTTTCAGCATTGTTAGTTAACAGGAGTGTGCTGCACTGCAACCTAGAGACATACTTGTGCGCTCTATAGTTCATGCTGAAGCCTCAGAGTTCATCCACCCTTACCCCCATGGATCTCTTGTTTAAAAATTAACTTAGCCATTGATGAGTACAGAAACTTATTTAAAAGAGGCTGACCTGGTAACAAACACTGGTCATGCAATAAAATTGTCTCTGATTGGCTGAATCGTATTTGACTGCATGAGATGTTGTGGTCTTTGGATTTTTATTGGCTGAGATGCTTACATTTGATTGGTGCATGATTAAAGCACATTACAATATTGTGAAGCAGCATGTTTATAAATAACATGTTTGGCTTTGTTGGGCATAGAAAGGGAAATATTGAGGTGTTACTGGTGCTGATGGTATGCTTCAATGCAGGCTGATTTTTATTTTCTTCCTTTAATATAAAGTATATATTTTCTGCAATTAAAACATATGATTATTATCAGTATTTTTGTTCTTTTGAGACAGAATCTCGCTCTGTAGCCTAGGCTTGCCTAGTATTCAAATTGTATCCCAAACTGGCTTTAAACTCAGAGAAGTCCTCCTGCCTTAACCTCCCAAGTACTGGGATTACAAGTGTGAGTCAACCCTGGCTTGGTAATTTTATAAATTGATGTGAGCGTTGTTCATGTAAGTGTAGGTACAGCTAGCTAGCTATACATGTGCTTGTGAAGTTCAGAGATCACCTTGGGTGTGGTTCCTCAGGAGTCTTTCATCTCATCTTTTGATTAGGGTCTTTTGTTGGAACCCAGGGCTCACCAGTTAGGCTATCCTGCAAATCCCAGGCATCTGTCTGCCTGTCTACCTCAGCAGTGTTGGGGTTGCAAGTAGCTTTGGACATGGATATCAGGGACCAAACCCAGGTCGTCCTTCATATAAAGCCCTGTAAGAAAAGTTGGTGTTAACTTTATTCCTCTAGAGCATAGCTTCCTAAACAGCATGTAGGAGGCTGTGAAAACAGTGACACTAAAAGGTTCAAGAACAGGAGGTGCTTCATGTGACTTCACTGCAGCGTTGGTTTTGAACATGCAGTATGTGTACTGTGTACTACACATGCTACACAACACACATGAAAGCTGCCCCAAACCCTCAGCTCAGAGTGCTCTGTGTAGAATTGCAGTGTTTGTACTATGCATACAAAACCTTTCTCTCTCTCTCTCTCTCTCTCTCTCTCTCTCTCTCTCTCTCTCTCTTTTTTGTTTTGTTTTGTTTTGTTTTTGTTTTTCAGAGACAGGGTTTCTCTGTGTAGCTTTGGAGCCTATCCTGGCACTTGCTCTGGAGTTCGAGGCTGGCCTCGAACTCACAGAGAAAAACCTTACTCTCATACAGAAGCAATGGTCTAATTATGGAAAGCAAAGTCTTATAATATTTTCCTATCTTTATTTTTTTTTTTTTTTAGCACGTAAGTACCAAAATAATTTTATTTTTTTATTGGTTTTTCAAGACAGGGTTTCTCTGTGGCTTTGGAGGCTGTCCTGGAACTAGCTCTTGTAGACCAGGCTGGTCTTGACCTCAGAGGTCCACCTGCCTCTGCCTCCTGAGTGTTGGGATTAAAGGCATGTGCCACCACCGCCTGGCCCCAAGATCGAATTCTTAGCATATAAGCAAGCACTTACAACTCATTAGTGCACAAATTCCTTTTAGTCTTGAATAAATGGTGAATTTGCATGCCTAGCAAAGAATTGGGGGTTTGTTTTTTTGATTTGGTGTGTTTTGGTTTTTATATCATACTTTATAGGTACACTTTCTGTTCCAACACTGCTTGGAATTCTGGTATGTTGACTAGGCCAGCCTCAGGCTTGTAGGGCTCTGCCTGCCTCTGTCTCCTAAGTGCTGGTATTATATGTATTCTCTACCATGCCTGGCCCAAGAGATTCTTTTTTAAATTAACTTTTTCGGGTCAGCATAGGGTGTCCATCTTTAGTGTCAGCACTCCTGAGGCAGAGGCAGGCCTGGTCTACAGTGAGTTCCAAGACAGCCAGGACTACATAGTGAAACCCTGCTTCTAAATAAATCAATAAATATTTGTGTGGTACAGTAGCAATAAATGTTTAATTTGTGTGGCTAATTTATTCACCCAGGGTTGCATAATTTCTAGATTAAAAACTGGACTTGATTGGGGAAAGTTTTAAGCTCTGCACTAATTTTTCTCTAAGACTATTTTAAATGGGGGCCTTCTTTGCTGGTGCTGGTATTTATGAATGGCATTTAAGGCAGTGCCCCATTGATACTGGCTTGTTGAGATGGACTGCACACAAGGCTCTGCTGCTTTACTTGGTCTCAGAGGTTCAGTCATACAGGACATCTCATGAGATGTGAAGAAGCTACTTCCTCTTTGCTGCTCTCTGTGCCAAGAAAAAAAAAAATCAGAACACAGAAAATTGGTTTAAACCCTCCTGTTAGCATGTATCTCAAGAGTTTATCTGGCTTTTCCTGTTCCTGCAGGAAAGGACCTCTGTGTTTCATGAGTTCTCACATTCTGGAACAGGAGTCCTGCTCTGCACGGTAAGTGTCACTCTTCTCTGTCAGGATCAATTCCTGTGACAACAGTAGCTGTGATACTTTGCAGTTTTGTTGCTGTTTCGTGAGACAGGGTCTTACTATGTAGTCCTGGCTGGCCTCACAGAGATCATCCTGCCTCTGCCTTTGCCCCGAGTCCTGGGATTAAAGGCATATACTACCATGGCCGAAGGTGGCTGTGACAGTTTGTCCTGTGTCCAACCTCCTGGACAGCTGGCACACCTGGGCCTCTGCATTGCCACCTGGCTGTGCCACATGGTATTGGCTGCCACTGTTGAGAAGACTTGGCGATTTGCTCACTAATAGTAGCAGCTGTAGTCTGAAAAGGTGTGACTTTATCAACCAAAAACTTGTAAATTACAGCTATTGGGAGTAGTTGGAACTGAGAAAGTTTTTTGCACAACAAGGTGCCTATGCTTGCTCACCTTCTTAGAAGAAAGTCAAAGCACCTGGCAGGGTCTGTCTGCTCTTGTCTGAGGCTATCATGGTCTTAGGAGCTTCAAGCTAGTTCATTTGCCTCAGTCTGCAGACCTGTCTTGTATTCTCCAGCACATACCTCACCTTTTCACTGCGAATCTTTAATGCTGTTTTGAGATTGAAAATTCATGCCCTCCCTGTTTGTTCCCCACCTCTCTAGGGATCCACTTCTTAGCTGTTACTCCTGCCCAAGATTAAAATACCTTCTCTTCCTGTGCCATTTGGGCGAATAACTTACAAATGGCTCTTGGAGAAACTGCACAGTAAACTTTGTAAATCTTGCAAGCCAGTGTTAGGTGGAAATTGTGACATTTAGCTATCTGCATGCCTCATTAGCTGCCTTTACTTTTTAAAGAACTTCCTGTTCCATGTTTAACTCAAAAGTAATAGAGTCTATTTTCTTTCAGAATTCTGTTAGTTTTCCCATCTACTATAAAGCCTACCCAGAAACCTCACCCCAGTGCCATCATTTTCCTGTGTCCATGGCAGAGTGGCCCTGCTCACATTGTTCAGACATTTTAATTTCTCTTAAACAGCTTGCCTCCCAAGGAGACCTGTGTCAGAGCAAATACCCTTCTCTTTATGGTCAGATGCTCATACTTGTTCTAAAAGGGTCTTCAAATGTCTGAAGCAAAGAGTGAATCCAAATGTGGTACTTGGTAAGGAAATGGCCAGTAGCCCTTACTGCCAGCAGGAATGTTCTGGAGCTCTCACCACACTTCTTTGTTCAATGTTCAAGCCCATCTTTCAGTTCTCTGACTGTCATTCTGACCTCTGACCTGGGGCCTTTGTGCTCTTCTTTCTGCCTGGAACAGACTAGCTGGCTCCCACTTAGAGGTCTAGCTCCTTTGCATTAGGCCCTCTGATGGTCACACCTGTTAAAGGTTTCATTGTGAAGGATCCTAAGCTCCGTGAAGACAATTCTATCCTGGTGACAACACAGTAGGAGCATAGTAGGCACGTGTATTTATGCAGGAGCTGGGTGGGTAGATAGGCCTCAGAAACTCATTGGTGGGACTCGCCTGTCTTTAGACAGGCAGGTGCAGTTTAATGGACTTGCTCTTGAAGAATAAGTTCTGGAAGGTGAACGCAAACATTGTGTTAAAACACAAAGTAGGATCTTTAGTGATTGAATGAGAGTTAGGAGCCTTAAGACCCTAGATTTACCATGGGACATGTTGAGACCTCCCATCTGAAATTTAGTGCTTTAGAGGCTCTACATAGAAGAGAAGATCATACTTTTCTAAAGGTAAATCTTGCTGGGGTCAAAAACATGTGCTCACTTACTGTTCTATTGGCTGCTACCTGCAGGCGGGTGGTGTCAGCTAGTCATTGCCACAGAGACTTCAGCTCCTGCCCACCATGAATGAAGCAAACTCTTGTCCACATCTAATTACCTGAACTTCTTGGTCATAGTGGTTGGCTTGTCTGGGTTGATTCCAGCATGCATACTCCAGTCTCAGCTTTCCTCAGCTCTGAAAGACTATGGAACTGGGTGGGGCTTAACCGCTAAGCTATGATGAGGCTCAGGTTCCATGGTAAAACTCACTCCTCTGTTCCTGCTGTTACTGTTGTATTTGTTTGCTTTCTCTCAACACTTGTCTGTGAGCCACACTGGGATAGATGATGCTTGGGCTGGGGAGATAATATCACTCTGCCACCTTATAAGCAGCCTGTTGCTTGCCAGGCTATCTGAACACTCCAGGAGCCTCTGTGGTGTTAATGAGGAATGAGGGCCATGTCAGGATGAGGCAGATGGAGAAGTGGTTTCTCTTGATGAAAGGAATCATGGTAATTGTTGTGTGGAGATTTTCCCCTTTATACCAAGGCTTTTACTTTTGTTTTGGTTTTTGTTTGTTTGTTTGTTTGTTTGTTTGGTTTGTTTTTTGTTTTTTGTTTTTTTTGGTTTTTAGAGACGGGGTTTCTCTGTTTGTTTTTTGTTTTTTGTTTTTTGTTTTTTTTGGTTTTTAGAGACGGGGTTTCTCTGTGGCTTTGGAGGCTATCCTGGAACTAGCTCCTGTAGCCCAGGCTGGTCTCGAACTCATAGAGATCTGCCCGCCTCTGCCTCTCAGGTGCTGGGATGAAAGGCATACGTCACCACCACCCGGCTTACTTTTTTTTTTTTTTTTTAATATATATTTTTAAATGTTCATTGGTGTTTTGCCTGCATGTATGTCTGTGCGACCGTGTCAGAAGCCCTGGAACTAGATTTGTAGACAGGCATGAGCTGCCTTGTGGCTGCTGGGAATTGAACGGGGTCCTCTGGAAGACCCCCAGCCAGTGCTCTTAACTGCTGTGCCATATCTCCAGCCTGCCTTTTACCTTTTAATTTATCACCCTAAGATCCTTTTAATAAGGCCAGAGGCTGGATGTATGCCTTTATGAAAATATGGAAGCTTTGGTATTGTGTTCTTTATTGTTTGCAAGTTTCTCTACTCCATTTTTTTTCCCCAGGAGGTAGTAGTTATGGGTGTGTGTTTGCCTTAACTATACTTGTCTTACAAGCTTTGTAATTTCATATGGCTTTCCCAGGACCTGAAACATGCATGACTCTTGTAGACTGGCTATTTGGTACTGTAGGCTGTGGTGAGGGGGGTGGGTAGGCAGAACTAAAGGAGAGTTGGGACAGAAGCATTTTGTTTGCAAGAGAAGACTTAACTGAAGAGGGATGGACTGAGTATGGTGGTATACACCTCCCTGTAATCCCTGCATTGGAGAAGTGGAAGCAGGAAGATCCAAACCTTGGCCTCAAAACACCCTGTCTCAAGTAAAACATAAATGAGGCAAGGAGTAAGGACCAGAAAGGATACTGAAACCTGTTTTTCTAAATAGCCAAAGAATTCAGGCTCAGGACTTTGTTTTATCTATATGCTGGTTCATTGTTATGACCTGCCCAGAGTCAAGGCAGGTAGTACTGTCTTTAGTTCCATGTAGGAAAATGCTAATGGGGGATCACAAAATGAAATTTCAGAGCCCCCCCGCCCCTGGTTTTAAGGTCAGTACCAGGCCTTTTTCTGGTGTGTTTGCTCTCCTTGTTTGTCCCTGGATGAATGGAATGCAGTGCCGAACTCAGAAAGGAGAGGCCTCTGATGCCTGAGTTGTCTGCTATGAACACCTAGGTGGATGGACCATGAGTGGCCACCAGGTAGCTTTCCTACTTAAGAGCTACATGCAAGTCACCTGTGCTGCCCCGAAACTGGCTCGTTGCTTTTGTTTTCTCTGATTGAAACACACTGTTGTCTGCAGTTCTTAATTTTCTCTCCTCCTGGGAAATTTACTGTGCCAGTGGCCAAGAGACAAAGGAGCAAGGACTGTTCGTGTCCCTAGACTGGGTTCACTGCCCTGCATGAGTGTGGCTCCTACACTTCTCTGGTTGTGCTTTTTAGGGGAAGTTTATCCTTAACACTTTGTTTCTGCACTGCTAATGGAAGGATCATTTGGAGATTGTTTGCTGTTTACTCAGTCACGCTAACTCATGTTGCCAGTTTTTTGGCGGCTCCAGCCAAGATCTCTCGCCTCTGACAGCTTCTGCACTCTCCCCTTCCTCCTCTGATTACGCAGCCCAATCTGTCACCCGGACAACGGGGGCCTGTACCCTGCTGATGGCTTTCCACACATGGCAATAATGACTTTTGGCAGGCCAGGAAGGCGTCGGAGGCGAGTTTGTACGTCCGTTCTCAGAGAGATGGCAGGCCCCCTCTCCCTGTTAGTAAAAGCACTTTGTGAGGTTCTTGGGTAAATAAATGAGTCATTTTAATCCAACTGACAGGCTGGCACCTGAGCAAGCTGCCTTCCATCTGTACTCCTGGGTCTCATGGAGGCCGCCAGTTGTCAAGCCCAGGGCCTTCAAGGCTTGTTGGTAAATGTCTTTCAGAGCTGACTTTAGTGATTCTTTTGCCCTAATTAGGTTAAAGGAATAAAATGAGGCTGTGATGGGGCTTAAGTTTTGAGAACTGAGAGTACAGAACTGAAATGTGTCCAGCAAGTCAGTTTCCTGTTGATCTGGTGTGGGCAGCTAACACCTTCCTACAAGACACAGCCATTGTTGACCTATCTCTCATGCCTGCTCAGAGGGCCAAGTAAGATGTGGTGAGGGAGAGTGGAGAAATGTTGCCACCATTTCTTCATTATGAAGCAGCACACTTCAATTGCGGTTGCTAGGATGTTTCCTGTATACACTCCCTCATTTGTCCTTCATTAATAAGGCAGTTCTTAGCCACAGTACAGGTAGGTGGCATGGGGCAGCAGGCTGACTGGCCTCCCCAGCCTGGCTGGCTCCCAGTGCTGCCAAGCTGGTGCCAGTCCTCCCTGCTGTGGACCAGGTCTGATTCCTTCCCTTAGCCTCTGATGCCTGGGAGGGGGTACAGAAAGTGTCTGGTGCAAACCTAGGTGAGAGTACCTGGTTGTTAGCAAGCTCTGCACAACGGAAGAAACAGCAGAGTCCAGCAGGGCGGTACCTGCCTGCTCAAGTCCTAGCTTGAGAGGCTGAGAGGGGATGAATGGAGCTT